TGGCAAAGTAATGTCACTCATCGGCTCTTTACATTCCATGAATTTCTCCTCTTCATGCCTGCAACAGTTACAATTCACTAAAAATTCAAAAACACCACAGCAGTACGGTTCTGCGACTGTGATATTTTGAATAAAAACAATGAAACGGGACCGAACTTCGACCAGAACCCCCCAATAAAAAGTACAAAAAAAGAGGGAAGAACGCTCACTTGTGGATCAGTCGCCAGTCAGACCGATTGAGATCATCGCCAAATTCATAAACCCCAAGATTTCGTCCTCGATAGGTCCATTCGCCCCATACTTTACCACCGAATAACCACCTGTCCATTGCGGGTTGCGCCTATAAGCAATTTGAGAGGTAGGGTTGATTAATTAAAGAGACAAAGGCAACTTAAACGTTTAAGTAAGCGCCTTACCCGAACAATTTTGATGTACGAAGGCTGTGCAGGCCATTTTCGAGCCCACTCATTCTTTGTGACAACACGTCCGACTCCAAGCTGAAAGTGCTTTTTATTGAAAAAGTCTCCTTTCTTGGAACTGCTAAGCGATTACGGAATATCATGCACAAAAAATCCATAGAGAGAGTGCGCACAGAGGGCCTATATTTATTATATTTATTATATTTGCCTTCGAAAAATACTATAATACCAGTTTGCCTAGCGGTCGTTTTTGCCTCCAGCGAACTCGAACCCGTGAAGTATTTTGCGGACGGACAGACAAACATACCTACACAGCCTCAATATACAGGGGGGGCCAAAAAAAAAAGTCATTTTGCCTCCATGACTTTCAAGGCGCTATAAGTTACACTTTATTAAATTTTTATCGGACATTTTTACTACCATATTAAAGAGCACATTAATACTATAATGATACTCCGCCACAGCCTTCTGGAGGAGCGCCATCGAGAGATTCGGCCGCGCGAAAGTGGGTGGGTACCGGAGTTGAGCGAGGTAGTCGATTTCTCCGCCACCGTAGACCACCCTATACGAAACTCCGCTCGACCAGGTAATTGAGGGGATTCAGGTCAGGGGGCATACTTCAATATTGCATCTTCTTCAGGTACGAAGCGCCCTTTCATTCGAAGTAGGAGAGAGTTTTTCCAAAACCCTTCGATTCCATGTGGTGGCACCAAAACCTGTAGCAGTACACGGTCTCCGCCGTACGGAGCTGACAACATGTGGGGGAGGATATTCTTCTCGAGTTGCTTGATGTAACCGCCAGCGCTCACCTTCAGTCGGGGTCTACAAAGAAAATATCGGTCTTCCCCTTTCCAGGTACCCCGGTCCATACCATCAACTCGCGCCTCGGCGAATACGGTGAAGATGATGTCCTAGACCGTAGCGACGTTGCCGTAGCTGCTCGATGTGGGAGGTCTTGCAGATCAAGAGTACTGACCTCCAGGTAGCTATCTGTGGATGACTTCATTCAAGAAGTTTCGCAGCTGTTTGGAGGCGACGTGAATTCCAAAGGTGTTCTCCAGTCAGGCCGCGACTGGAGATGACTTCATATTTTGGCGTACATGAAGGCGATTGGCGGCAGCGTGCTCCAGCTTATAGAGGAAGATCTTGGGTATCTTCCACTCTGGTACTCATATCCACTTCCCCTGTCTGGGCTGCGAAAACTTCGTTGATATGTGGCTCGGCCGAAATGACTTTTTTTTGGCCCCCCCTGTATATACATACAAACCGACACAACAAAGTTACTGGTTTATAGAATGAAAGGTATATTATATTTATTATATTTGCCTTCGAAAAATACTATAATATTCCATGAATCTAAATGCACTTTTTCACAATCATGGTACGTCGTAAGTCGGGGATCTCTAGCGAGCGTGGCGGTCGTATATGGCTGCTGGAACAGGGAGAGAGGTCGTAACTGCTCTCGTCAAGAAACCTTTTCTGTCGTGTTTTCCGTTTTCTTTTCCTTCTCCGAGTGCGCTGCATACCCTTCTCCCTCCCCCCCCCGTTCCACCCGCTCGGCTGCAATTTTCGGGAGGAAAACAGGAAAAGTGCTAGGAAGTTGGGAGAAGTGGACAAATTCAGGGGAGATGGTAGGTAGGATGGAGAATGGGGTTCAACCCGAGAAGGGAAAGAGGGTCACCTTCTGCAGAAGTTTTCCCCAATGGCAGGAAGTGAGTGCCCTATCAACAACATATCCACAAGTTGGGCCGTAATAAAGGCTTGCGAAAAACGATCCGAAGAAAAACAATGGACGGCCTTCTAACCCGTTCCATCCAATGATAAAAAGCCTCTACAATTCCTAAATCATGAAGTGGAAAGAAAAAGAGGCATTCAGGGCTCACGCTTCTACCTTCGTTCAACAACTGCACTTCTTGGTTTGTAAGTATCAAACTTCCAGATGAAAAACGAGAGCAGTTTCAAATGTGAAAGAAATGAGGCTCCAGAATTTCAAGCAACACACCGAAAACGCTGAGACTCGAAGAGGGCCATGTT